AGGATTTGTTGTCTAACCCGTCTTATCCCGGCGTATATTGAATTGTGACGATCAGAGACAAATACTAGTTCTTCAGAGTCCGGAACTACAGCTGATAGTTGTCTGAAAAACCATGTCCAAGCCTCATCATTTTCGCTATCCACTATTCCAAACCCGATGGGGTAAATGTGGTAGTTCCCGTCTTGCGCACTAGCAGTCAGCAGACATCCAGCATACTTCCCCTTTAGGTGTGTCCCATCAATAATCACTACCTTCCTCATGAAAGGGTACCCTTCAATGCTTGGACCAAAGGCGAAGAAGAGGTACTTGAACCTCTGCGCACCTTCTGCCGCTATCGTTGTCTCCAACGCCACCACAGTTGTTGGGTTAGTCGTTTGCAACATTAGCAGATACGATGGTAGGCTTTGGTATGACGCCACCGTGTCACCAACTCCTTGGTTAATCGCAAGCTCCCGTGACTTCCAAGCCTTCCAGTAAGATATTGGGACGCTGTGATCGTGCCTTATTATGTCCCTAATAGCTCCTGGTCTTGGTCCAACACCAGCTGCAGGACCATACCTATGCTTAACCATATCTCCAACAAACTTGGAGTTCGCATGATGTCTGAACTCCCACCTTTCAGCCACCGAGCACGTGTGGATGTTATCTAAAGTCCTCACTTCGAAGCTTACAGATCCCCCCATCTTCGCCGCATACACTCTCCATCCACACGCTGCTCCCCTACAGTGTAGTACCATTTTGCCTGGCTCTGACTTCTTGATGAGGAACCTAAACTTGTTTGTGATTGCATGTAGGGTCATATGGAGCTTGAAGGCTTCCCTGCTCTCAAATATCTTCCCCACAAAAAGCTCTCCTGTTGGCTCATCTGCCACACGTCCTGATAAGCACAAACAAAATCGTATTTATTGCACCATACTATATGACGGGTAAACTTTTCAATTTCAGTAAATATTTTAGTTTTCTGGTACTTCACAGTTTAACCGTAAACTAAATACGTTCCATGTCTTATTGTTAGAATGTATCATTTTATCCTCCACTATTAAAATTATTTTTATACCTCCAACTTCAATACCACAAAAAGGCAGCCTAGTAGTATCCTTTCCTTTAATGACCTTTCCATAACATTTGCTACCCCCCGCCTCGTCAAACTCTTGACTCAAGTTTCGCATCCACGCCAATGAAACGTCATCCTCAGCAACAGGCTCGTCAACTCCCAGTGCTAGGGACAGCTGTGTCGCTGAGCCAGTACCTGATAATGCTTATGTTATCCCATAACTTTTGCCTTACCTGTTAACTAATTATTTAACATAAAATCTTTATTAAAACATTAAGATTATTACTCATGTTTGACGCATTCCCTCCAGACATCAGTTGATCTCCAAATTGGAAATTTGAAGAAGCTCCAATTTGAAATGGTCTCTCTACCGACTCATCACTCATCATTACTCCCTTACCCTTGTCCCGTATTATCTCCTCCACTTCATTACCTTCTGCCCCTAATAATTAGCAGTCACACCTTCCGGTTACATAAAACTATCTCCTTCACGTATAATTTGATTTTTTTCCTCTAAAAAAATAGTATTATCTAACGCGAAGGTGATTTCTTCAGTTTGAACTTCCGCGTTGGTATCCTCTGCTTCTCTTATAGCAGCCCCTGTTATTATTGCCCCCGCCTGGTTAAGAGGCATGCCAGAAGAACCCTCTGACGATTCTAGGTTCACTTTCATCGTCGGGTCAAGCTGAAGATCATTTGGTCCACACCCAAGGGCGGTTTGCTCCAGTATGCTCATTTCATCAGCCGTGCATATTCCCCTTAGTATTTCCCCGTACACAATCATGTACCCTCTCGCAGTAAGATCTGCAAACATAAACCACAATAAATTTCTCAATTAATACATGTTTACCCTAGTTTTTCCACTGACATCACCCAGTTAATAATATATTTACCCGATAACTGCGTCGCTAACTGCTAAATTACTATTTTAATGGAAGGACTACTTTATGAGATACTTTCTTTTCCGATACAAAAAAACATTTACAGGAAAATATTTCTTTAACGGGAAAAGGTTATTTTACCTTCGATACTCACTAACCCGCGCGCCTGTGTTAGTTGTTCTGAAGCTGTCATTCCATCTTCCACCTCCCTCTGCCTCCTGTAGTTGTAGACATCCTCTCCACCCAATGTGACATACAGCTCCTGCCACACATTGTCAACCCTAACAGCCATGAAAACAGTCACGTCGTCGTCCTCATTTATTTCGATGGGTGGTGCTGAGTATTCCTCAGGCTCTTTTTCAAGGTCTGGGTAGTGGTAAGTCAGCAACACAGGGGCGTTGACTCCATACAGTGGGTCTACGTTGAACTTTTCCCTCACCATACCAACAAGTGAGATGTAACTCTCGTTCTCCTTAAGCTCGACGTCAGCTCTTATCATGGTTTTATCCACGTTGAACC